AGGCAACCCAAGCAAGGTATGTTTTCTTTTCAGCTTATTTCATTATGTATGCGTTTCAAAAAAAAAAAAAAAAAATGAGAAAAATATATCTGGAGACATGCTCGATCGAGTACTCTGTAATACTCGGTCGGGTATTGGTAAAAAAGGGGACCCGGTTTCCATACTCGATCGAGGTGCAGATCAATTTTCAAAGATACAGGCATACCCGATCGAGTATTGGAACATACCCGGTCGAGTATGCCTGGAAAATCAACTCCATCGGAAGCCTGCCTCCGAGGCCCGATCGAGTACATATTCATACTCGATCGAGTATAAGTGGAAAAATAAAAGCAATAAACCCCTGCCTCCTGTACCCGATCGAGTACATATCAATACTCGGTCGAGTATAAGTGGAAAAACAACTTCTGTATGCCCCTGCCTCCGGTACCCGATCGGGTATACAGGGATACTCGATCGGGTACCCCTGCGATTTATACCTTCAAAACACCCCAACCCACTTCATCTTCCCCAAACACTCCCATATTTTCGAACACCTCTCCCCCAAAACTCCATTTTTGGACCTTCTCTCTACCATATCTCACCCAATTCTCCACCAAATCAACCCATTCTTGCACCAAAATACTCCCCTTCCTCTCCTCTCCATATCTATACCCAAAAATCCATTTTCCCCCAAACTTCCACCAAATCCCAAAAAACCCTACCCCATTCGAATTTTTGCCTCTTCAAGCTCAAATTCATCAACAATGGCACCAAGGAAGAATAGGGGAGAGAGCTCAATCACCATAGCACCCATCCCGGGTTTTGAAGACATCATTCCCGCCGACGCCGAACACCGAACTAGACTCCTAGCAACAACAAAAAGGCAAGTAAAACCTTCCCGTTTTCTATGCCATGATGCTCTACGTGAATTAGGAGTCTATAAGAGTTGTAGAAAATTCTTTCATGCATTAGATATGGACCGTATCTTCAATATGAAATACAATTCTAATGAACGAATTATCTACGAATTCTTGAGTTCGGTAAAGTTTGAAAGTGATGAGGCGGATTTTAGGGATGATAAACTCGAGTTTCGTCTGTTTAACCGAAATTATTCAATAACGAAACTCGAATTTGCTGAACACTTTGGTATCCCGGTGCCCTACGAGAGAGCCATCTCGGATAACACCATTTTTGGGCACTCCCTATGGACAAAGATGACCGGGGAAGTGAGCTTTAACTCCTCCCAAATGTATATTAGTCATGTCCAACATCCCGTCCTCCGGTTATTCTTGAAATTTTTAGCCAATTGCTTGCTTGGCCGTCCCAACAACCATCACACTAGAATTGGGGACGTTTGTTTGATGTCCGTGGCCCTATTCCGTCGTCACGTAGACTTTAATCTGTGCAATCTCATGTGGGCACATCTGAAAAAAGAAAGCGTAGCCAAAGGAGCCATTGTTTTGGGAGGGGTAATTATGCACTTGGCCGGTAAATTCGGGTATACGGATAACTCTCCTATACCCGAATATTGTTTGATGGACATAGGTTGGTTAGGCCGATCAGGCTGCACCTCTTTCTCTCATACAGTGTACATTGGAGACCAACCAAAACACATGTACAACTGGATCATACACGTCCAACCGGTCCAATACTTCCTTTTGCCAAACCCCGACACTCCCAAAATCATCTACAGGCCGGAGTTCGAGGTGCCCCACTACCTATTCCCTCACGCCCTACCACCACATCTCCAAGAACCACAAGCCCAAGATCTCCCCGAAGACCAACCCGACCAAGAGCCTCAACCCGAGTACCAAGAACCCGAGGTTGCACATCACCACATGCCCGCACCTAACCAAGCTTACCCACCTCCCGATTACTTCAAACAACTGCTTGACGGATTTAATAGAGTTACCAATGAAGTTGGTAAGTATCGGGAGGAACAAAGGGCGGGATTTCAAAGGCTAGAGGAGCAACGGGCCGAAGACAACCGCAGATATGAAGAAGATCAACGTAGGTTTTATGGACCTATGTACTCTTACATGGCTCATCAAGGCCAGTTCCATACCATGGCTCACCCACCACCACCCCCCTCTTGGTATGACCCCACGCAATGGGGCAACTTTGGAGGATCGAGCTCCGGGGGTGGCGGTTTTGATGGCGGGGACGGCGGGGATACTCACATGGGAGACGGGAACTTTGGCGGAGGTTTTGGAGGCGGCTTCTACGGCGGAGAAGGCGGGCACTAGGGACAGTGCTTGGACTGAGAAGGGGGGAGACTCCTCATGGTATGTAATGCTATTTTCTACTCTTTACTATGCATGACTTCTCTTTTACTCCTTGTAAACAAAAAAAAAAAAAAACAAAAAAAACAAATAAAAAAGAAAAGAAAAGAAATGCTAGTTAGGTTGAAAACCCAACAAAATGGGCAATCTAAGCAAAAGAGGCTTACAAGAAAAAAAAAAAACCAATGAGTGAGTGGGGAGAATGGAAAATGTAAAGAGATGCTAGGATGAAAACCTGAAAAGGCTCCTAGGCAAAATGAGAGATATGAGAGAAATATTTTTCTGTGTGCAGGAACTCATTTGATCTCTCGGAGGAAGAAGAAGAGAAAAAGCAGAGGAGGAGAAGATGAACACTAGAAGACCATAAAACCCAAGATGATAGTTGTAATTTGAGCATTAAAACTCATATTTTAGCCTTGGTGGTCTTTGTGTTGTTATTTTGTAACATTGTTGGAACTCTTGGAAAACTCTTAAACTGTTTGGATGTTTCTGTTTTACTCGAGGTCGAGTAAAGAACTGAGTGTGGGGGAGTTGATACACTTGTAATTTCCGTGTGTATGTTTATGTTTTTAGCTAGTTTTGGTTGTTTAATGTTTCGGAAATTACACACTTTTGGTGTAATAGTTTAGTTTGTTAGATCCTTGTAAATTGTTTAGATTAGGATTATTCTGAGCTCAAACAGGTCCATTATCACTCAAAGGATGGTTGGTGAACCCCAAAAGTGGAAAGAAGGTGCAAATCACAAAACAAAGGGAAAAATCCTGATTTTTACCTTTACTCGGTCGAGTATTACCTATACTCGATCGGGTATAAGGTTGAAACTTCAACTCAAATCGGATCCGAAGACAAAGGAACATGCCGGGAAGATTTTGACCACGATTCAATGTCTATACTCGATCGAGTAGACCGACATACTCGATCGAGTATACCTTTGAATTTAAACCTGAAATCGGTCGAGTATAGCGCGAATATCACTTTCTACGCATACTCGACCGAGTATGAATATATACTCGATCGAGTACACCTTTGATTTTTAAAGCTGAATCGGTCGAGTATACCTCGAATCTGGCATTTCACACATACTCGATCGGGTACTATGTATATACTCGATCGAGTACTCGTAGTCCCATCCCAAAAGCCTATAAATACACCCTTTTTCCTTCACAATTGATCACCAATTCCTTTATACTCTTAAGCTCAGTTTAGAATAGCATTTCTCTATATTTCTTTTAGCATGTTTAGTCTCCAAATGAGGAGCTAAACTTCCATTTCTTGGTTTTGCTCTTGAAGCTTGATTGATTATTAAAGTTGTGAGTTATTTTCTTACTCTCTCTTCTTGATTATTAATTCTTCCCTTAATCTCATTCTACATCATTGTTGGAGGGTTGCTAAGTGACGATTAGTTAACGTTCCAACATTGATTATTACTAGAAACGATCAACGAACCGATGGTTAATCGTTGATAGTTTCATAAGTAAGTAACTTCGGTTTGTTAATGCACGGTCGTGGTTAATAAACTTAAGAGGGATTAATTTTGTTGGTTAAACCGAAACCGTTGCGTTGAGGTTATCAATCTCAATTGATTTCATCAAGGAGTTAAGGAGGTTAAATGCTACTGTTATATCGGTATACGGCGTTGTTCTATATTCGATTAATAGTAAGGGTTATTAATGAACGGTCGTTGTTAATAACTACCCTCGATGAACTGGATATACTCCGCGATTGAGTATTCGAGAGGGGATAAGTTATGGAAATAACAATGATCGACTAAAATATATCAACAAGTGGAAAGTAGCAAGACCAAGTCCCTTTTATTCTTGAATTTAATCCCATATAACTCGTTCATCTTCGTGTTTAAATTAATTAAACCACTCAACAAACAAAACCCCCCTTTACTTACTATTTATATAAAAAGAAAGTTATTCCTTTCCCTGTGGATACGAACTCTACTTCACCTATACTACGTATAAGTGCTAGTGTTGAATTTATTTTGAGTGCACTCACGACAAAGTGCACGTCATGCATGCCGTCCGGTTTTATTACCGTCGACTGGTTGTTCCCTGAAGGCTAGAGTAACCTGTTCGGGTTATCTTCCGCGGTATTCTTTATTCGCAAGGCAATCACCTCTTGCTGCAAGACAATTTCACAATTCGTGTAATGTCTGCCATCTTCCAAGCCCATAATTTCGATGCATACCGTCGGTTTTACCGTCCGGGGTCATCCATATCATGAGGTTGAGATGTCCATCCTGGACCGTTGAGAATAAGGCTCCCAATTCGGGTCTCCCCCTTATTCTCTGCCAAAATGGAGACTCGCCTCCAGGATACAGCTCGGGTTCCACCACCATAAAGTTCAGACGAGCTGTATGCCCAAGGCAAGATTTTAAGACCAGAGTCCCGATCCCCCGCTCGGTCACCCTATGACTTCGGATGCCGCCCGGTTCGTCCTACTCAAGATCTTTTACACCATCTCCCAAGCCGAGTCCGGGCTTGGTATCCTGCACTTTTTTTTTTTTTTTTTTTTTTTTTTTTTTTTTTAGTGCTGAGATGATGGCTCCCCATGGATCGAGATAAATGATATCTATAGATCAAGGTGAGACTTTTGGCCGAGCTTGTGGTGATGCCGTTCGGCATGTTGATACCGTTCGGCTCGCAATATTCCTTTTAACTCTGGCCTCGTTGGAAACATTGTTCTTCCCCCCCCCCCCCTTTTTTTTTTTTTTTTTTTTTTTTTTTCACTAGTTAATAACCATACTGTTCGGGTACACCGATCATTCTTCATTACATTTGGGTGTATCCCGTTCGGGGAAACACTTGTAGCCTTTTTCTTTTTCAATTGTAGAGGTTCGTGAACTTTGCTGATTTCAATCCCGTTCGGGTGTTCACCCACCCCAAAGGATGCTTTAACTTCTCCCAACCGTCTTGACACGTGTCTATTACTCATTCGAATTCCTGGCGGTAGCTTTTCCTTATATAAGGACGCAGCTACTTTGTTTCAGTTTTTTCTGCTGCTTCTGAATTCCTTCAAGCTTTCTCTCTCTAGAATCTTCTCTGTTATTTTATGTCTGCCTTTTCTGGTTCGTCAGATTCCGAAGAGATGGTGTCCACTCTGATTCGCCATTCGAGGGGAAAAGCTCACCCCAAAGATCAAGGCACATCTACCCGATCGTCGGGTTCTAACGGGTCTTCTGCCTCACTTCATCCCGAACAGCCCCTCCCTGATGATGGATGTCAGTCGGGAGATGACCTAGCCATCTATAACAAGGGCATGCCTGAACGGCCCCCCCGTTATAGTTTGAACTTCCACTGCATCAGGAAGCAACGTCAACGCCTTCCTGCTGATGCAGAACAGACACTCCGCCAATTACTACCGCCACCCCGTCAGTTTTATGCGGGGTATATTAAGCATCCCATGCGGCATCGTCCGGGATGTGTGCTGGTTCACATGGACGCGCTGATCGCCGGTCTACGGTTCCCGTTGCACCCTTTTATTGCGGAGTTCCTTCGCCGGGTCTCAGTACTGCCAGCACAGTTCGTGCCTAGCACTTATAGGATCCTGAACGGTTTTATCGTCTGGTGCCATGAGTTGGGGATTGCCCCTAGCGCCGACCTCTTTTTGCACTGCTACGGCGTCCAGCCCTATTGGACCACCGGGTACCTGCGGCTTGTCGCCCGCCCTGGCCGTTCGCTCTTCACCGACAACCCCACCCCGCCGGGGAAATGGGAGGAACGATTTTTGTTCGTTCATGTGGGGTCGCCGCTTCCTTTCCCTGATCGGTGGAACACCTACCCCGTTCAGGATGCCTCCCCAAAGGTGGACGCAGATATTGTCTGTCAGTACGAAAGGCTCCGTCTGGCCGGTTCCAAGAACCTACGGTCCTTTTTGACTCCTGCTAAGATGCTAGCTGCTGGCATTGGTATGTTTCTTCCCTTACTTTGTTCGTTCGGTGTATCTTTCAACCTCTTGTTCATTTTTCTTTGTTCTTTCCTGTAGGTGTGATTCCCCCCGTCTCCATAAAGCGTCCTGCTCCTACTCCTTCCTCCACCGCCATAGTTAGCAAGGGAAAGGAGAAGGCTATTCAGTCAGGTTCTTTGGCTGGCCGGGAATCTGGGCCAGTAAACAAGCGGCCGAGAATCGAAAGCAGCGGCGCCTTGGTCCCGATTGACCAGGTTATTGACCTGACGGATCCTTCTGTGGAAAGGATGCCCATGGTCCCCTCCCCTTCAAGGAAGCTGGGCGATAGGGGAGGCAAACCTTCAGGTAGTCTCCCGATCCCCGATCGGTTGACGGTGGAGTTTTCTGCCATGGGTCCCCGAGCTGAATGCCGGACGCTGTTCGGGCAGACTGCATCCTCCATGTGGTGCAGCACTTCTTTGAAAGCTGGCGAGGGCTTCACCAACTTGACCCATTGGTCTGATTTGGTCGAAGCAGGCCATGCTGAGTCCCTTAAGGTATGCTTTTGACCGTTCAGTTCTTTCTTTTTATAATTTTTTTTTTTTTTTTTTTTTTTTTTTTTTTTTTTTTTTTTGAACTTGTTCTTACTGCTGTTTCTTTTTCCACAGGCCGGTACATACTATCACCGGGCCTTCCTAGCAGCTGAGCGGGAGATGACCCTCCTTCATCAGGAGCTGGACGAGAGCCAAACCCTTTTGGCTGCTGCTAGGAAAATGGCTGCAGATCTCCAAGATCGGGCCAACAAGGGTGACAAGGCCAGGGCTGAATTGGCCGAATTGGAGCAGAGGCTCCAGCGTCGCGATCGGGAGATCCGGGCGCTGAAGGACAAGATTGCTGCTGCCGAAGCTGCTGGTGTTAAGTTTAAAAAGACCCAGCCTAAAGAGGGCGGACAGCCAGCAGCACCCGTTCAGGCCGATATTTCTAAAATCACTCAGCAGGCAGTGATTGATTTCCAAAGGGGTAAAGGTTTGAACGTAGCCCTGGAGGAGACTGCCCGGGAGTTCCTTGGGAAGCATCTTGGGGAGTTCTTGAAGAAGAGTAAGGATCCTCTTCGTGACGGCCTCCAGCTCCTGGATGAGACCCCGTCCGGGACAGCCTTCGCCAATGCCCTAGCAAGGGACACACTTGTTAAGTGCCAGGATATGCTGGTCGACCGGAATCTGGAAGTGATCAAGGAATCATTCGATGAACCCTTCGACCCCAAGGAGGAAGGTTTCGACCCCTTATTCTGCCGTGCTTATCAACGGGTGATGGAGAAGAGGCAGAAGGCTAAAGATTCAGCCAATCCCCCGGACTCGGATGCCGTGCCGAACAAGGATCCTCCCGTAGCTTAGTTATCTCTGTTGTAATCTCCTTTTCTTTTTCTCATGTATAATTCCCGGTCAGTAGTGCCGAAGAATAAAGATTGATCTGTTTCCGAATGACTTGCTTCCCGAACACTCTTTTTTTTTTTTTTTTTTTTTTTTTTTTTTTTTTTTTTTTTCAGAGGTGGCAACAGCCGTTTTTTATTGATAAAATTTTCGCAAATGCGTAGCGTTCCATATCCCTGCCGGACGGCCTTCGGTATCCTGTAGTGAAAAGGTCCCCGTCCGGTATTTTTTCCAGATTCTGTATGGTCCCTCCCAATTCTTTGACATCTTCCCGCCCTCTAGCGGTTTGCTTTTTTCTCTATTCCTCAGGACAAGGTCTCCGACTTCGATCGAACGGATTTTAGCCTGTTTATCCACATACCTCTTAGTTGCCCGGTGATATTCCTCCATTCGTAGAGCTGAGAGATCCCTTCTTTCTTCTATGAAGTGGAGTTCCACACGCAGATTGTCCTCATTCTGCTCAGGATCATAGTGGATGGTTCTGTGAGTGGGCACCAAGACCTCAGTTGGGACCTTAGCCTGAAATCCATAAGAGAGGGCGAACGGTGTCTCTCCGGTTGCTGTTCGGGGAGTTGTCCTGTATGTCCACAAGACGTAGTTTAACTGTTCGGGCCAGGTTGATGCGTAATCTTCGAGCTTCTTTTTTATACCATCCATGATGGTTCTGTTCATGTTCTCTACCTGCCCGTTCGCCTGCGGATATGCTACGGAAGCCCTTGAATGCTTGATTCCCCATCTAGTGAGGAATTCCTCGAAGTTCTTGCTCACAAACTGTCGTCCATTATCCGTGATGACCTGCTCGGGCAGCCCGAATCTGCATATAATATTCTGCCAAACAAAACGTTGACATTGAAACTCCGTGATACTGGCCAGGGGTTCGGCTTCCACCCATTTGGTGAAGTAGTCAATCCCTACTATGATGTACTTCCTTCCTCCGGTCGCAGTAGGTAGGGGCCCTAGCAAGTCGATCCCCCATCTAGCGAACGGTAATGATATGGTCATTGGAGTGTAAAAGGTCGCGGGCCGCCCAGGTACTGGTGCGTAGAGCTGACATATTTTGCACTTCTTTGTGTGCCCAAAACAGTCCTGCTGAATAGTTGGCCAATAGTAACCCTGCAGGATGATTTTCCTAGCCAGGGTTTTTGGCCCCTGATGGCTGGAGCAGATACCTTCGTGAATTTCTTCCATCACAGCGGCTGCCTGATCGGGTGGAAGGCATTTCAGATATGGCCCCCCGAACGTCTTTTTGTACAGCTGTCCGTCCACTAGTTCGAACATTGGGGCCCTTCTTTGTATACAAGTGAGGTTGTATACGTCATTTTTATCGTTCGGCAAAGTCCCGTCCTTTAGGTAATTTGTCAAGTCAGTGACCCAGCTTGGAACGGCATAGGACACGGCATCTACCCGCACAACCATTGTTGCTGGTGTGGTCAGTATTTCTTTCTGTGCGAACTTCTGGATGTGTGCAGGGATGCCCGGGGCATGATCATCCCGAACGGCGCATTCCAGTTTGGATAGGATGTCTGCCTCACTGTTTTCGATTCTGGGAATCTGGTCAATCACCACCTGTTCGAACCTGCCGATTTCTTCCTCAACCAGTTCCTTGTAGGCTTTTAGCCGTTCTTCCCTAACCTCGGCAGATCCATTAATCTGGCTTACCACCAGCTGACTATCCGAACGAACCTTTAATCTGCTGGCCCCCAGGGCCTTGGCATACTTTAAACCAGCAATAAGGGCCTCATACTCGGCCTCATTGTTGGTTACCTTGAAGTCAAACTGTACGGAGTAGTATGCCTTGAATCCCTCGGGGCATGTGATCACAGCACCCCCACCACAGCCTTTGTTACTGGATGCTCCATCCACATACATTTCCCACCACTGGTCATGTACTCCTCCGTCCGCTCCTTCTTCAGTTGATCTGGCAGTGCATTCGGCAATGAAGTCAGCCAAAGCCTGTCCCTTGATCGTGGGGCGAGGCTTGAAGTCTATTTCATACTGCCCGATCAGGAGGGACCACTTGGTGATACGCCCACTTGCCATGGGATTTCTCAGAATGGTGGTCAGGGGCTGGGTGGTGTAGATGGTGACTGGGTGTGCTTGGAAATAGGGCGCCAGTCGCTTGATGGTAGCAATCAATGCTAAAATGGTTTTTTCCATTAGGGTGTACCTGGTTTCTGGCCCGTTCAGGGCTTTGCTCACAAAGTAAATAGGGCGCTGGACACCCTCATCTTCCTTTAACAAAACAGAGCTGACCGCCAGATCAGCCACAGCCAGATACATGTAGAGATGTTCCCCTGGGTCTGCTTTAGCTAAGACCAGGGGGGAAGACAGGTACAATTTGAACTCTTCAAAAGCTGCCTGACATTCTGCTGTCCATTCGAACGGGTTGGCCTTTTTCATTATTTGGAAAAATGGGATGGCACGATCGGCCAGCTTAGCCATGAATCGGCTCAAAGCCGCTAATCTTCCAGTCAACTTCTGAACTTCTTTCAAGTTCCGCGGTGCCTCCATGTCCATGATTGCTTTCACTTTCTCAGGATTAGGCTCAATTCCCCGCTCACTCATCATATAACCCAAAAATTTGCCCCCCTTGACTGCGAAGGCGCACTTTTTTGGATTCAGTCTCATGTTGGCCTTCTGCATGATCCCGAAGACTCTTTCCATATCCCGGACATGATCCTCCTTCTTCCTGCTCTTGATTAGGATGTCATCCACATATGCCTCCATGGTTACCCCCAGTACCTCTTTGAAGAGTATGCCGATCATTCTTTGAAAAGTGGCCATTGCATTCTTCAACCCGAACGGCATGACGATATAACAGAACACGCCGTCCGAGGTGACGAACGCAGTTTTTTCTGCATCATCTGGGTGCATGAAGATTTGGTGATAACCCCGGAAGGCATCCATAAAGCTCAGCAGTTCACATCCTGCCGTTTCGTCCACCAGCAGGTCTATTCGTGGGACCGGATAGGGGTCCATGGGGCACGCTTTGTTCAGATCGGAGTAGTCCACACACATTCTCCAAGTAGATCCTTTTGGAGCAAGGACCACATTAGCCAACCATTCGACATGGATGACTGGTCTAATGTGCCTGATTCTCAGTAAGGTGGCTACCTCCTGCTTTGTGAATTCCCGCCGTTCGGCCGCCTGATATCTCTTCTTCTGTTGGACTGGCCTGGCATCAGGCCGAACGGCCAACTTGTGGCAGATGAGGGCCGGATCAATTCCCGGCATATCTTCGGGTCCTCGGGCAAATAGGACCTGGAATCTCTTGAGGACAGCGATCACCCCCTCCCTGATTCCCCCTTCAAGGTCCACCCCGATCGCAATCTTACGATCGGGAGGGGAATCAAGCTCGATGTATTCTAGGAGGGTGGCTGGCTCGGGGCGTCCCTCGAACTCCGTACGCCGGGTCTGTACCTCAATGCTGTTTACCCGCTGTCCCCGGGTGGTCATTTGTTTCAAAGCTTCCCGGTAGCACGTTCGGGCTATGGCAGGATCTGTTCGAGCCACTCCTACACCAGTGTCAGTCGGGAATTTGATGCATGAGTGTCGAACAGAGGCAATTGCCTCCAAATCTTCTAGCCCCGGACGGCCCAAAATGGCGTTGTGGGCACATGCAATATCCACCACCACAAACGTCATTCGGACTGCCGCTCGGTGAATTTCATCACCAATTTCCACCAGAAGCTGGATGGTGCCCTCATCCTCTATTACATTGCCGGTGAAGCTAGCCAGCGGTGTTTTCAGCTTGGTCAGCTGGTCCTTCTTTAGCTTCATCTTCTCCAACGTGCGTAAATACAGCACGTTCACACTACTTCCCGTGTCCACCAGAACTCGGTGGATCAAGGCGTTGTCTATACACATACTCACCACTAGCTCGTCCCTGTGCGGACTTGGTGAGTTGGGTAAATCAGCCACCCCGAACGTGATTGGCTCTAGGCGGCCCTTCTTTGTGGGAGGTGCAGCTACAGTGGCGACATAGAGGCTGCGCTCAAATTTCTTACGTTCGGCGGCCGTATCCCCGGTCTCTCCCCCGCCAAAGATGACTTTCACCTCCAATCGTGGCTTTTTTCCCGGATTCCCAGACCCCTCAGCCTCTTCTATAGGGGGAAGGTATGAATCATTACTGGGCTCTGCATCCCGCTGGGCATCCCGCTTCCAGCTATTGGATCGGGGAGGGCGCTGGTTGGGGGAAGGGCCGTTCAGGTTGGTGCTGACATACTTCCTCAGGTATCCCTTTTGGATCAGGTCCTCAATTGCCACATGTAAGGCGTGGCAATCCTTCGTGAGGTGCCCATTGCGCTGGTGGTATCTGCAGTAAGAGCTCGGGGTAGGTCCCATCACGGGCCTTGTGTCAGTAGGGGGAGGAATAGCGTTGTGTTCCAAATGGAAAACACCGGCTATAGACATGACCAGGGGGGTGAAGCGTGGAGTCCTTCGATGAGGTGCTGCAGTCGCTGGTGTGGGTCCCAGACGTTCTGCCAGTCTTGAAGTGGGAGGTTGCGGGGCCGTTCGGTCCCTTATCCTGATCTCTTCTTCCAGGGCCGCATAGTTCCTGGCCCTTTCCAGGATGTCTGGGTAGCTGGTCCCCGGATTCCTCTTCAGCTCCCTGTATAAATCCCCCGTCTGAAGGGCATCGGTGAAAAGAAGGATGGCCGTCTCATCTGTCATGCCGGTCACCTTCAGGGTTTCGGTCCTCCACCTGGTGAGGAATCCGGAGATTGATTCTCTAGGCCCTTGCCTCACACTGGTTAGATACCCGAAATGTAATTTCGGGGTTGTGCTGGAGGCGAACTGAGCCAAGAACAAGGTGGATAGCTCCGCAAAGCTCCCGATCGACCCGGGTTGTAATGTTCCGAACCATTCCTGGGCTGGTCCCCGAAGGGTACTGAAGAACAGCCTGCATATTGCCGCGTCGGTGGCCCCCAATAGCATGAGGCCACCCTGGTAACTCCTCAGGTGTACGTGGGGATCTCCCACCCCATCGTATGCTAAGCCGGTCGAGGGACGGCAGTCCTTCAGGATTTCGGCGTTCATGATTTCCCTAGTAAAGGGAGAGGTGATCCCAACCCGTGCTGGCGGGGTTTGTTGGGGCACCCGATTGACCTGCTCTCTGAGCTCAGTCATCTGTCTCCTCATTTCGGCCATTTCGTCGTCTTGGGCCGTTCGGGGAGTGTGTGGTATCCGAGCATCCACACATTCCGGTACTCTGTTCTGGG